GCCTTCTTGACGGGGGTCTGCAGTAGTGTGTTGTCGGGGTTTTCTGTGGCTGTCACGGTGTTACCCCCGGCCGCCTGGCTGGCGAGCGCCTTCGGGAAGACCCTCTCGAGGGCCTTGAGGACGTCTGGGTAGGGACTGGAGGACCGGAGCTCGGGTCCCCTGCTGGACATGGTGAGAGGTCTCTTCGTTGCGCCGACGAAATTGGGCGCCGGACTGCTGGGTTTACTCATTGTGAGTGGATGAAGTCATCTTTGGTCGAGTTTAGGAGTGAAATTGGTTTGAAAGGAAAGAAATGCGACGTGGTGTTTCCACAGGATCGAAATGTTGACTCCAACTAACTTATGGTGCCCTTCCTCTAGCGCCAAACTGTTGATGGACGGACCTATCAACGGTTAAAGTAAAGTGAAGACGAGCCCCACTTGATGAACAGAGGAGGACTGAGTGCAGGCGGGGCATGGTCAAGAGCAGCGGCCGGCCGAGGGAGAGACGAGCAGCAGCGAATTAGCCGGGAACCATCATAGCCCCCACCCTCAGATTCTACTCACGCCGAGCAGATTCTAGTCATCGTCGGTAGTTCTCTTCAGCCACGGACTTTCGTCGCCAATTGGAGCGAGATTTCTTGACCGGAAGGTTGCAGCGGCAGATTCCTTCCCATCACCCGTGATTTGCAGTTGCCGTCCTTCAATTTACGTCGGCAAGCACCAACATTGAGCAGCAGGTCTCCGTCCGATCAATCGTGGCCATTGCCGTGCAGTTCGCGAGTCCCGTTGGCCTTCGTTCAGGTCCGAACAGCCGCAACACTCCCCGTGTGCTTATTTTTCGAGCAGCGACACCTCCGCCGGCCTTCGGTTAGCGGCCCGAATAACAGCTGCAGCCCTTTCGGGCCCTGTGCGAGAGCCGAAAGCCAACCAAGCCTCCCTTTCGGTTTCGTTTCCTTCCTCTTCACCGAGAAAGGTAGATGGCTGCCCTTTTTAGCTTTAGTTTTGGGCCGAGATATGTGTTTTACGTGCTTGATTTCAGTTTTAAGTGAATGTGAAAGCATGTATGTTTGATTATTGCGATTAATTAGGCCAAGTTGAAATGAGAGCATGATTTTTGGAGTTCTTTGTATAGCTTGTACATGACTTTTTGATGCTACTGTTATAGAGGTGTTGTCGGGTGCTGATTATGTTCTGGTTTTATATGTTGAAAATGAGTTTTTACCTTTAGCCTTAAAGCCTTACTAATGTGCTCAAGTTTGGCATTGATTTTTAGATGGCCGATCTTTAGTTGTTGGTTAATATCTTGCTGCTAGTGTGAGATTTTGGCATGATGACTTTTAGTAAGAATCAGATTTTATGTATGCTTGGAGTGGCTAAAAGTTTATGGCATAGTAGAACATGTTTGAGTACTGCCTTACTTGTTTTGTATGACTGACCCTTGCTAAACTCATGAGTATGCTATACTTTTCTTGGGTTTGAAGTGCACAGTTTCAGTTTATAAAGTAGTTAAGTATGCTAAAAATATGTGATCAAAATGCTCATATTTGTTGTAATTTGAGTTTATAAGGGTGCTTAGAGTTTTTGAAATTTTTTTCAAAAGAAAGAGGCATGTTTGGTTGATTTTGAAGCATGTTGAAGGTTGGTCATTTTGATCCATTTTGCTGAGCCTTTATTGTGTTGTTCTTAGGCCAAAATTTTGTTACTTTTTAGATTTTAAAACCAAACAAGTATGGCCTTTATTTGTCTTGTTTGATCATGAGGGAAGGAAAGAACTTGTGTTATTTTGGTTTTGATTTTTGAAACCTTATTATTGTGTCTAAGGTTGATGAATTTTGAACTAGAAGAGAGATTCTTATTGTGCTTTTGTTATATTATATGCCATGTGTCGCCTTGATGTTTGTTGATCTATGTTAATGCATTTGTCTTGCTGAAAATATGTCATTTTGCCTTATTTGTTTGTCTAATTAATTGTTTGTTTGTCTTGCTTGTTTTGTGCCTTAATAAACCAAATCAAAACCCATAATAATTATTAAACCCTAAATTGTAGATTAAGAAAAGTCGAGCCTTCTTGCGACCTCACGTGCACTCATTGTAACAGCCCAGCATCTACCCGTAGTGTGATATTGTCCGCTTTGGGTATACATCAGATCATGCCCTCACGGTTTTGCCTTTGGGAGCGCTACTCACCAAAACGCGTCACACTAGTGAAGGTATCCACAGCCACTTATATGGCATGCTTCGTTCCCCTTCACAACCGATGTGGGATATCTGATCCACCCCCCTTGGGGGCCCAGCGTCCTCGCTGGCACACCAGCCCGGTACTGGCTCTGATACCATTTGTAACAGCCCAGCATCTACCCGTAGTGTGATATTGTCCGCTTCGGGTATACACCAGATCATTCCCTCACGGTTTTGCCTTTGGGAGTGCTACTCACCAAAACGCGTCACACTAGTGAACGTATCCACAGCCACTTATATGGCATGCTTCGTTCCCCTTCACAACCGATGTGGGATATCTGATCCACCCCCCTCGCTGGGCCCCAGCCCGGTACTGGCTCTGATACCATTTGTAACAGCCCAACATCTATCCATAGTGTGATATTGTCCGCTTCGGGTATACACCAGATCATTCCCTCACGGTTTTGGTTTTGGGAGCGCTACTCACCAAAACGCGTCACACTAGTGAAGGTATCCACAACCACTTATATGGCATGCTTCGTTCCCCTTCACAACCGATGTGGGATATCTGATATTTTGCTTTTGGGAGCGCTACTCACCAAAACGCGTCACACTAGTGAAGGTATCCACAGCCACTTATATGGCATGCTTTGTTCCCCTTCACAACCGATGTGGGATATCTGATAGAAAATGAACCAGCCGGTTTAGACCGGTTTCGGAGTTGTTCAGTATTTACTTGTAACACCCCGCTGACTGATATACATCAGAGTACGCGATTTTTCGCAAATATTCTGAATAAATAAATAAATAAACTAACTTTTTAATTTGCGAAACTGATTCGGGGGTTACCGTGAAAAACATGACTTCTGAAAACCGTTAGAATTTAGAACTAAAAAGTGAAACGGTTATAATTTATTAACCGACTAATGTCGGAACAAAGTCTGAAATTTTA